CGGTGCTGGTGGGATTAAAACATTTTGCATTACAGTCTGTGGGCTTTCTGGAAAAGCTGACAAAGTTTTTTTCTTTGCAGTTTTCTACTAATAAACCAGGCTCCCCGGCAAAGTTTTATGCTCCATGCCATACCACGTGTGAAGTTAGGGCAGAACCCAAGAAAGAAAAACAGAGGCCAATGGACTACAAAGTCCCTGCCATACCGTGTTGCAGGCCATGTATACCTGGCTCCCAAATTTTTACAATGCATTTAAAAATTGATGCCTATTCAGTAGTCATTCTTCCTTCAGGAAACACTAACCTATTGAGCCGTAAGATTTTTAGGCCTCCAAGATCCGTTGTCCCCAAAGTGGAGATGATCGTGGAGGCGGTATTCGTCTTGAGCAAATTTGACATCCACTTTGCTCACCTAAATCCCAAATTAGTTGCCTTCTGGAGGGGAAAGGCATGCTAAATGAACTCCATTCCCACTCATTAAGACCTGAAGGAGCAGGGCTGCTCTTCAGTCTCTCTCCTTTTCTCCAGTCATCTCAAGCCTAGCCATCGCAGGCTGGAGCAACCGCTGGTGACGCCTCTGCCACTTATGTAAAACACCCAAGTTACCGGTTCCCCCGAGGGACAGGTTCTTTGACCCCAGGCACCTCAGCCGTGCCGGCTGCAAGAGTGGTGAGAGCCCTGCCTGGCTCCAGCATTGCCAAGGCATTGGTGCCACCCAGCAAACGGCCTGATCCCCTGCACGGGGTTCTGCTGGGCCAGAAATGTTAAGCTGTGCATGAGATTTATATTCTTTCCAGCAGGAAGTTGTTAAACTCAGGTGGAAAGCTGCTGCTTTGAATATCTGATTTTTACCCCAACAATTTCTCTTGACATTTCCACAGCTTTAAAATTGGTTTTTTCCCTCTCCATCTTTACTTTTCTGTGCATTGTTTTTCTGTGGCAGTCTTTTTCTCTTCATTGGTTTTGCTTCTGTAAAGGACTTTGCATAATGTTTTCCTTCAAATTGTTCCCTTTCAAAGTTTTCCCTTTATTTCAAACTTCCTAGTTGCTATGTGACTCTGCTGTGTGGTTTCTAGGTCTACTTTTGCTTTACAGTGTCCTTTTTCTCTTAGGCACTTTCCCTTGAACAGCTCTGCAGTGGTGATAGCATGAAAAATCTCTGTACGCCTCTGTGTCTCTATACAGAAGTCTAAAATATCAGTGAGGGTGAGACAAAGCAAGCATTTTTTAATATAAAATAAGGGACATTTATTGATAGGATATCTATTTTCTATCTAATAGCATGAAGAGAAACTTTGCCATTTTATAAAAAATACATGCTTATTTTTCTTCATACGTTCTAGTCATACCACAGGCTTTCCACAAAAAGAATGAGCATTTATTTTTGTGCTGTGCGCCCAGAACAGCTACTGCACGACCGTCGTCCTGCCAGGATTTGGTGCTGAGAAGCCTGATGTTCAGAGGCAGAGTGCTCCTACTTTTACTGGGGGGCGTTGTGAGTGGCAGGGGCTGCAGGTCTCTGAATCAGGATGGGTTTACGCTTTGACTCACCGTCAGAGAGTGGTATAGTGTTATATATATTCTGTTATAGATACTTGGGAGAGTACATCTCCTGAAGTCCTCTCAAACAGATCCTTTTCAACTCAAACACTCAATTCCTGGAACAGTTTCACGTGCGTGGCACTGGGTCTGATCTGAAGCCCACGGAGACCAGCGAGCGCCTTTCTGCTGGTACTCAGTCAGGCTGTAACCGGATTTAAAAAGTGACCTACATCTTTTGCTCCATATCTCAGGCTCTCTTTGCGTAACCATCCATAGGTGGTCTAAATTTACCATTGCAGTGTGAAAACCTGAATCCATGAGCAGTGGTGGGTCTAGCTATTTAAACTGGTTTTTGTCCTGATTTCAGAACCATGAGTAAGACTTGCACTTACCAGTTTTGTCAGCAGAGCTAAGCTGGTGAATATTTTCTTTGGTGACCATTTTTGTTTCTGGTTCATGGCTGTACCAACAGGAGCTACGATGGGGACCAGCAAAAGAATTCTTTAGCTGGCGTTCCTTATTTGGCTTACTGACCCAGGTTTGCTAGCCCGACAGAAGATTTTTGCTTTCCAGTATGGTTGTGTTTAGACTGAGAGGCCTTTTCCAGCTTGGAAGTTTCGCCAGTGGACCTCAGGCCTTTCTGAATTTCACATGCAGGCAGACGCAGATGGGCTTTCTACAGCTGTGTCTTGCCCTACCACTTTTTCTTTGCAGAGGCAAGATAGTGCCAGTCAGCCAACACTGCCGAAGAGTCGCTAGGGAAAGCTATAGGGCTGTAAGTGAGTCCTTGGATCTCAGTTCTGTCACCCAAAGCAAGCTGGCAGGTGTGTAAGTATCTGCTTAATATCTCAGGAAAGGTGGAAACTCCTTTTGAAGATGGTATCAGACCTTTTGTCATCTTTTTTCCTTTCCTTATGAATACTTCTTATGTAAAGTACCACAGAATCATCATTTAAATTAGTGGAGTGATACTGCTTTGGAGCAGTCGCTGTTCATGCAGAAGGGGAGAGTGGGCTTTGGGTATGAGGCTGGGGTGTCCGGTAGGCACTGGCGCATGAAGAGTGCAACCCATCGCTCAGAGCAGATGACCGAATGGCATCTGGCTGACCACTTCTAGAACAAATGGGACACCTTTGCCTTTGGGGACAGCTGAGACAAACTCTGTTTAAACTGTGTTTAAAATGGGCTTTATTAATGTAGAACTTTTAATTTAGCACTGGGAAGGTAACGTGTGCTGTGTGTTACCTGCTTCTGTCAGCCTTTAGGACGGAGGATGGGTTTTCCTCAGGGTGCAGCTGGTTAGAAGTGCAAGAAACTGTTGTGGTTTCTGGGATTTGAGCAGATCAGCCAGGCAGAGCATACCTAGGATGCAGGAGCTAAGCAGCAGTGGACCGTGTACAAAGCAGAAATGCAGTGCAGGACCTGAGGCCAGTGGTCAGCAGTGGCTGGTTCTGCTTCTTCCACTTGGGAGAGGGATTATTTCAGTGTAACAGAGTTCCCTACAATTCTGCGATGCAGCCCTCCTGGCGAAGGGCACAGTGATTCATCCACTAAGTGGATGTAGCAAAAGCAGTAGCGATTCACTGTTGTTTATAATAGGGGTACCGTGCATTATGCCTGATTTTTAAATTGTGATATTGTAAGAAAAATTCCTGGAATGAAGAGAGTATTGTGTTAAAGTGTCTCCTGAATCAAACTGTTTTCTCATCGACAGTTTCTCTCAAGGTAGAGATAATGTTCCCAGGGAGAGCAGGATGGGAAAACTGGAGGTCTCTTGGTCACGTCTTCCACGAGCATCAGACTATCTTTTTGTTAGATGCAAACTATTGGGGATGTGGAGGGGGTGGGGAGGTGTTTCTTAGTTACTCAAGGTGGTTAATACCAAAGCACTTGATCACATCAGTGTTTTGAGCTACTGGTTTTACGGCCTGGTGCTTGCTGCCATGAGTTAGGGTTTTGTAAGTTAGGCCTTTATATATTCTGTAAAATATTAACAGGTTTACTCTCCCTGCACACTCTTCATTCATTGCTGCATAACAGCAGAGAGCAATTTAGCTCCCTGGCAGTGTATTTTAGTAAGACAGCAAATTGTCTGTGTTTACTTATGCTATACAATTCAGTAATTGTACTACAAATCTTGGCCAAGTTCCTGAATAGTTGGGGCCGAAAAACAAGCTCTTAAACTCATATTTAGGTTCCTAAATAGAAGGTCTGATTTTTCAAATATTGAGTCCATCCTGACTCTTGCTGACTTTTTGGAAGCCAGTAGGCTATCAGCATTTTGAAAATCAGGCCTGCCTCTGTGTTCCCATGCTTGCATGGGGAAGCTAAACTATGGTTTGGACTCCTTTTAATATTTGTCTTTGTAGTATTGCAGTGCCTGTTTTATTCTCTACGTTGCAGTAATTCCTAGTGCAGCTTATACATGTTGACAAACTATCAGTTTGGATTGATTAAAATGTCCTGTAAAAAAGTTGCCAGCAAGGTTGCTATTTGAAATCTTCGCTGGAAGATGAAGAGATGCACAGAGTAAGACTATTTCTGGCAAGTCACTGGGTTTTTTTCATGAAAGGGCAGGCTATAAATACCATCTTTCATATACCATATGCTTCACTGCCTGTGCCTGACAACAAACCTGAGTGAACTAGGGTTCATCAGAAAGGCTGATTTTGCCCTCATTATTATTGGGAGCTCTTCAGTGCCTCTTGGTGAGGTTTTTCTCCCGTGTGTCAGTGCAATAAGGCTTCCTTTCCTTTCTCTATATAATTTCAAGGAAAGTCTGATTCATTACTTCAGGGGCTGAGCTAAATTCTTTCCTTTGGACCGGTTTAAAAGAAATCGTTTAAGCCTCAAATACTTATGCTGGCTGCAGCAGCAGCAGTGTGAAAGAGTGGGCATTCGCTTTGCTTCTTGCTGCTCATCCTCAAGAAGAGGAGGCTCTCCTTAATCTGTGGGCTCAGAAGCACAGCAGAAGGACTTTTTGACCTAAGATAAAACAATGACAAAACCGTTCCTGTGGAAGCACAGTATGCAGGCGCTTTGGGATGCTTCTGGAATATATTACTGGGGATAACTTACTCTTTCTTTTCAAAAGAAAATCATACCAATGGCTTTAGGAAAAAAAAGTCTTGTGTGATGAGGGGAAAGGGAAGAAATTATTCTTGGTAATATTTAAAAGTTGTTGAATTCAGAAGGCCCTGGAATGGGAGGAATTAACATAGGGTAAATCAGCAGAGTGATCTGGCATGATTGCAAAGGCGACTTTGAAGGAGTTTCTCAGTTTAGTCTTGGCAATCTTTCATTTCTTCTATTCAGATGCCCTGGTGGATCAAAATTTGCAGCATTTTCAGCAATCAATATGCACTTTTTTTCTCAAACGAGGGCCACTCCTGAGAAAAAAATTCTGTTTTGTAAACATTATTTGGCTGAGACTGACTGCATGTTTCCATTCCCCTTGCAGAGGCACAGCGATAGCTGGAATTGTTTTCGGTATAGTATTTATAATGGGAGTGATTGCTGGGATCGCCATCTGTATCTGCATGTGCATGAAGAACAACCGTGGGACTCGAGTAGGGGTCATCCGAACTACACACATCAACGCTATCAGCACATACCCAGGTAAGGAAGCGAAATGGCACCCCTGCAAGAGTGCCTGCATTCGTGGTAGAAGTGTATCTTTGGATAGTTAATGGCTCCGCAGTAAATGGGGGATGTGAATACAGCAGGCGTCTCTTCTCAGTCCGGAGGGGAGTGGCAGGACTCCCTGCTGAGAAACGCAAGACAGCTCAGCATGCGCAGTGTTCGTCAGTGCAGCACTCTGCCTGGGCTAATTTATTCAGCTACTCAGTGGGCTAATGAGATCTGGCGGGGTGCCATACTCGCACAGCTGTATGGCTTGCGGTGCCCGCAGTAGCACATTGAGACCTCGCTCAGGGCGGTGCTGCATTGTGCAGGATAGACCTTCTCCCTGTGCCAGAGGCTCTCTGGCAACGGCTGATTTGTTGTTCTTTTGTGTTCTGGTTCTTGTATTTGCTCTTGTTCACGTGCAGTCAGTTCCCTTTCATTGTCCGATGTAATGGGGGCCTGGCATACCACAGAGAGGGGAAAACCTGGACAATAAGGTCTGTGGATCATAGCGCAAAGGCTTCGAGTGGTGCCATGTGGAGTCTAATGCAGCCCAAGCTGGCTGGTACTCAGCCAGAGCTCACAAGCCCTACTGAGTGCTGCGGGATCCCAGATGACTTCTACAAAGGCACACAGGCGTCTTTGCAGTGTGTTCTCTGCTGTGTGTCCCAGGAGGGACTGCTGGCTGGCACGTGGTGCTGGATCCGAGCTAGCTCTCTGCATCCGCCTGGCACCGTGCCTGAACTGATAGGAACTTGGAGCACGGTGCAGAGATGCCCGTTCTGCCTTGGTCAAAGTTAGCTGAGAACTGGCAGTGCTTGTTAGCTCTAGCTTAGTGTTGGATGTGCTCAGTGCAGGCTTGTCTGTGGGTTTACATTGTTTTGGTGTAATGGTTTTTTAGGTGCAGGGCAGCACCAGGGGAGTCACGGAGCCTAAGTCAGATCTGGCACTGAGCTAATAAGCTGTCACAGGCTCTGGGGCACCCCAGGGGACAGGAGGGACCCCTCATGGGTCTGCTCCAGTGCAGTTGTGCCCATAGTGAGTGGGAACTGGTACATCAGGCTGTACCTGAGCTAGCTCTGTGCAGAGCCACTCTCTGCACCACACTTGTCAACTCACGCCAGTCCAGGATTGTGGTACAGGAGCACCAAAGGTGGATCTGCACTGAGCCATCTGGGGTCTGCAAGGCTCATTTATCTGGGCTCCCCACCACAAGAAAGTGGCCACGTTGTTAAAGAGCAAAACTGACCCTGGAAGCAGCATAATGGTGTTTATGCTATGCAGCTATGTCTCTGCTTCAGTGACACTGTTAATTACAAATCCAGGAGCGATTGCCTTGGGATAACTTTAGAGTTCACTGTAATAAAAGGCAATGGTGTTTCATGGATGAAGTCCCCTCATCCCACTCTTAGAGATCCCCTGCCTTTATATTCCCTCCTGTTGCAAAGGTTGCAGCAAACCCCAGGTGCATTATGTATATTTATAGGCAAGCTATGCAATTTATTATGTGTTCCTTTATCACATTCACTGCTCTGAGTGTCTGTTTTCTCCCTCATGCTCTTACTTTCCAGTTAAACTAAAACCACCTATAATCATCCTAATCATTGCAACATTGTTTTGCATAGAGAGATGAGTAATGAAAGAAAACTGCAATATTCTCAACCATGAATTGCTGAAGAGCTACTTCAGAATCTAATAGTCACTGCAAGCTGTAAAAACAAGAGGAAAATGAAGACTCCAGGGCTGTCGCCTCTTCCTCCCCAAGTCTGCTCCTGCAATGACTCATCCCTCTCTCTCCACCTCCAAGCAGTTTGACTCTGCATGCTCCCCGTTCCTGGTGCAAACATTAGTTCGAGCAGTTCTTCCTCTCAGCAGCAGCAGTTTTTTAGAGGATGGGGAAGCTCTGAAATTATTTCTGTGTTCCCCGCTGTCATGAATACTTCTGGTGTAATGACTGACCTGGCTTTGGCTGCAGGGTTTGTGATCAATGCCCCCCTGCCCGCCCCCCTCGCCGTTACCTGTTTTGGACAGGAACAGCAAGCGAGGGAATGCCCTTCCTTTGGCCTCAGCCACAAATGGCAGCTGGGTTTTCAGAGAGCAGGGAGTGCTTTTCATGGCACACTGGGATTTGAGACTCTTCCCCCCATCACAAACATCCTAGGTTTCTGTTTCCTGTCTATTCAAGTGCTATTTCACTGCCAGTCTGCCTGAGACATCTAGGGAGGGGATAGGAAAGCATCCATGGTGACATGAACAGAGAAGAAGCAGACTCTGGACCTTAAAATTTGGAGAGACTACTCTAATGGGGTCTTTATATGGAGACTTCGGTTCCTACCGTGCTATCATTCTGCAGCATTTACTGTCTTTATGATCACTGAATTAATCCTTCCTCTCTAGAGGTTATTAGAAGTAGTTGAGAAAATGTTTTCAGCTGTTTGTGAATATTTTTGTTGTTTCCTAAATGCCTGACCCAGTTTACAAATGCAGGGCTCTCCTCAGATGTTTCCGTTGGGGTAAACAAGGCAAAAGCTTTGTTCTTCCTCAGCCCAAGCCCTGGGAACATCTGGGAAGATGTCCAGCATTTGCCCTGGAAGGTGCGACGCTGCTGTGCAGTGAGGAGCTTTCAGCCGTGTTTGGCATGGCATGGCATAGCACACATCTCCTGGGGATCCAGAGGGTGGTTGAGAGGTCTGTGGAGATCAGCGAAGGCCCTGGCTACACCGTCAATTTGAGATGACATAAGTCCATGTTGTTGCTGAAGGGGATGAAAGAAAATGGATCTGGTAAAAACCCAACCTTCCTTCCCTGAAAAAGTTTAACTCTGCCACATCACCCTGGTATCATCTGCTATATGGCCACTCAAACACTGTTACCAGCACAACATGTCGGTGGGCACACGGCTAAGCAGTGAAGGAAAGGGCAGTAAGCAAGGACTTGCATTGACATAAAGTGACTGTATAATGGCAGTTTGAAAAAAAAGTGGGCGCATTGCCAGGAGACTTTCAATCTGTTGTATGGAAGTCTGAATGTCAAGTAGAAAATACTTGGGGGCCTGCATCTGAAAAAAAGATTTTTTATCTATGTCTTCTTTTTTCTCCCATTTCAGTGGCTCCACCACCATACAGTTACGAATACGAAATGGAGTACCCAGCTGACCTACCTCCACCTTATACTCCAACTCCACAGACTTCGATACAGTATCCCCCACCCCCTCCTTACCCTGGATATTCAGGGAAATAATTACATGGCTTCACATGGATATTAACTGCCTGTTGAAACAGCCAGCACCGTTGGAACAAATACTGTCAGCTCAGGGACAAATAGGATGGGGTCTGCATCAACACATATGGCCAGGCGTTAAAATAACCTGGGAGGGTTGCCATGGCTCAGGATGAACAAAAATACTGTCCACTCTGGACCATCACATTTCATGATTAAACAGCGCGTGACCAAAGAAACAGTTCCTGTAAGTCGGTGCCTGATGAGTAGTGCTTGGCTTCAGCTGCAGCCCGCTACAGCACGTGGGAGTGGGGGTCTTCCCGTGTAAGAACACGCAAGTGGTACAAACGGTTCAACAAGCTGTTTCGAAAGCACAAGAGGCAGCTGCTGGGGCTTATTTTGGGGGAAAACTCCCAACTGTTGTCTTCAAGCATGTGTTAGGCCTTTTCTTGAAATGAGGGGAATAAGGAAGAACAAGAAAGACTGAAGCTATTTTCAGTTTCTACTTCAGGCTGATAATACCTGATGAGCAGCTGTGCATATTGGTCTCATAAGCATATTATCAAGAGAAGTGCTGTTGGAGTTATTCAGTAACCAAAAAATGATGGATATTATTTTTGGCCAAGTGCAGGTTGTTTTAAGTGCCTACTTTTAAACAGTTTGAGACTAGTTTGTGGCCTGAAATGTAAACATAAAGAGCATTTTTATATGTGAAATACACTAATTTATAGCTGATTTGCTTTTACCTGGACTTAAATACTGTATACATTGGACATACGCTACAATGCCTTTTTTATCAGCAAATGATAGTTTGATTTTTTTAAAAAATACTGAATCAGGAAAACTCACAAGTGGGAGAAGAAATACAAACCAAATATTAAGATATCATAGATTTGTCTTCAATTGGATTTTGTAAAGACTATTTTTTTTTTAAATCATATTGTTTACCAATAATAATGATATTCAGCCTAACCAAAGAGATGAGCAGAGGGACTGTGAGCATCAGATTACTTTTGAATGTTGTCTTGGGCATTTTAAAACTGTAATTCACCAAATAATATTTTTTGCATTTGTCACACATATTGTTCAAAATTACTTAATCTCTACTATGTAAAGTACAGGCCTTCATGATTTAAAATGTTCCATATACTTATGGGGCTAACTGTAATTCAGCAGCAGCTATTTGACTTCAGAATAGGGTATCCCATTACCTAAAGCATCATCCTTCGATGGTAAGACTAGTATTTTTCTCAGTTTTATATGCGAACCACAAAGGCAGTGGTTCTCTTTAGGGATTTAAAATTGCTGAACGCCCTTAGTTTGAGTTGGGTGGCTGGGCAGTTTGAGAATGCTACAGCCAAAATAGCGGAAGGTGACAAAAATACGGCACCTAGAGTTCAGGACGCAGCATCAGGTCCATTTCAGAGGGAGAGACTACAGCTTACCGCTGATTCCCGGAGATCAGAACACATTTAAATATTTTCCAGTGTAGCCCTCATCTTCTTTCCAGGTGTATCAGTGTATTAATGAATAAAAAAACAGCTTGCAAAAGGTGGTACCATATCCAAATGAGGTCAACTGACAACCTCTCATCACCCCCTACGTCTGATATTTTTGGCATTCGGTCCTGATTCGGAGAAGAACTCAAGCAACCTTTTAACTTTGAGCACAAAAGTTACTCAGAGGTTTTCTGGTAAACAAGACCTTATTGACTGTTCTTGCTCAGATTTTGTGATTGTATTTGTCCTTTCCAGTCTGACTAAGCTTATTCTCTTGAAATCCCACTTGAAAGCGCAAATGGCCTCAGTCCTCGCCACCGTAAGTTCAGAAGCTCTGTGCTGTGGCCCTTGGCCAAACTGAGCCGTGAGTCACGGGCCCATTAGCTACCTAGGCATTTGTAATGCAGTCAGAGGAAAGCTGAGCTGCGTCACAGGTTTTGGTTGCTGCTGGTTCCTTGGAGTCTTCTCCAAGGAGAGTTATATTCTCATTTCTGTTTCGCTGTTCAGAGGTGACAACTCCTGAACTAGGTTATCCTTACAATTAGTTCTGCTCTGGGCTATGTCCTGTGACATTTCAGCTGGTACCATGGCCTCTCAAGAGACGGATGTTCCTCAGTTGAAATCCTCCCATGACGTGCAACCTTCTGCATGCGGTGTTTTGGCAGTCCCTACTCAAAACCATCTACTGGGGTATTGATGTGCCTGCCAACGTGGTGGCCAGCGTGAAGAACAGAACGAGCATGGTTTTCTCTGCAGGAAATCCTGTTTGTACCACATCATTCTACGCTAGTACCTCAGCACTTTCCAGTTGATCACACCGGATGATATTTCTGTGCCCAAAAGTTACCTATAGGTAACGTGTATTGTCATTTCTCCCATTCTTGTATTTCATGTCTTTGTGCTGAACAGCAGACACACAAATCAAAGCACAGTTTGTATTTGATGAATCCAGTCTCCGGAAAAATACAGAGAAAGAAAACTATCCTATAGATCATAAATCTTCCCTTAGAGGAAGAATTTCTCCAGCTATGACATTTGTCAGAACAAGTTATAAAGCAGGTTTCTTAAATAAAAAGGCATTTCTGGAAAATAACTAAAAGTCTTGGATCACAGAGTCCTCTGTTTCTCAGCTTTGCGATTGCGTGTTGCCTCCGATGATGTTGCATAATGGTCACAGTGACTGACGTACCTACAGTGTATACATGGCTTATTCCAGAGGAAAATTATGGAAATAGCAATTTGAGAATTTCATAGCGATAGCGAGCTATTTGTTTGATATGGAAACACTAATGAGGATGTTGATTTTAGTAAGTTAATTAATGTTCTGCAGATCCATATATATTGGGCTATAACAGACATTAATTTTAATCTCAAAGGACACCACATCTCTTGTCCTTGCTAAGGGCATAAAACATAAAGGTGTTACCTTTCCAGCAAACTAGGTAAAACTAGTAGAGTCGCCTCTTTTTGGAAAGAGGTGATGATTGCATTGAAAATAAGCAAGCAAACTGAGACAGCCAAAGAGAAGGAGGGGTCAGAAAGATTTGTAAAAGTAAAGGAATAGAACAAAGAAGTTGCTGCATAAACAAATGGGAGCATTTGCTAATACTAAAGTTTTATTAGTTGAATTTAGTTGAAAAAGTTGAAGTGTTGTTATACCTTAAGTGTTATTTTCTTTGTGTGGAAACATGTAGTTTGTTCAACACCTCCATATTCAAAGCTCTGCAGTGCAGATTTTGCCGGCCAGTAGGCATTTATTCTGTTTCACATGAATAGCTTGCAGATGAGTGGGTTAGTACAAAGAGTTTTTACTTAGTCACACCAACTTATTTCAGTCTCATGCCCTACATCATACTGTAAAGTAAGAAAAAAATACAAAAATGTAATCTGTGGCTGGGAAAGGCCAAACAATCTTTTGCTTTTCTTGCCTGGCAGTGGACAATATCGCTAATTTGGTCAGTGAACGTAGCATTGCCCCGGGCAGTTCATATGCTTGGACCAGATGCTACTGATTTTCTTGTGGTCTCAGGTTGCTCTGCCTTTGGTTCACGATTTCTAGGCTGAGCTGGGGAGGCAGAGAGGGAAGGTCACAGTGTCAGGAGTACAGGACCCGGTCCCATGAGCCTTTCTCCTCGGTTTCATAGTTCAGCACATTAGATGACTGCCTGGTTGCACGATTGCTGTTACGGATTGGGAGCAGCAGGAGTTGCAGGTGCTTATGAGGGCACATATGTTTGCATACGCACTGATGCCAGTCCTCTTTTGTGGAAAAAAAATAAATTCTGTGTGATGTCTTAGTTAATCATGTATCGGGGATATTTCAAGCCATGATTCATTGCGCAAACTTAATTTAATCTGGCATTTCTTTAACTTTTTTTTCCCAGAAAGAGCTACTTCCAAACCAGTTATCTCCCTGACAGCCTACTGTTTCTTGGGTATATACCAAACAGCAGGAGAAATGTATTTAAGAGCTAATGACCCATTTGGGAGACTTTACAAATTAGGTAATAATCAGTTGGAGGAGTTAAAAGGCCAAGGCAAAGCCAAGGGAAGTTAATGTGCTAGGCTGCTATTACCTAAATGACACACTCCGATGAAAGGATCGTTAATGCTATTATAAGCCTTTTTTTAATTAATGAAAAATGTAACGATTTTCTTTTTTAATGTTGGTAACTTTGAAAGCTGCAGTTTTACCAGTGTACTAGACCAGATTTTCAATAGTGCCACAATGAAAAGATCAGATTGCTCCACAGAGCACCGGGATCGATAGTAACACTGTTCTTGGTATAGTAGAAATAGAGTCTTTCAATTTAAAGCAAATGTTCTCAAGACCCTTTGTGAAACCACGATGATATTTTTTGGATGTAATGGGATAGTTCATAAAGCACTGATGGCTATCTATTAGAATAGTAAATGTTTGGCATTTCTGTATTCACTTCCATCCTGGAAGCTCTCCAAATGCTTTAGTAACTAGAAAAATAATTATTTTAGTCACCTTGGAATAAAATGCAACAGGTAGTTAACAGCACACAGTAATAGTATGTAACACCCTGAGTCAGAAGTTGCACAAAAGAATTTAGGGAAATTGAATATATTTCTTCAGTTTCACTAAAACATCAGTATTCGGACAAAACACCTTGAGAAAATAATGACCAGGACCTTTTATCACGTGGTCCCTATTATATGGGCCGAGGCCAACTGTATGAGGTTCAACAAGGCCAAGTGCAAGGTCCTGCACTTCGGCCACAACAACCCCATGCAGCGCT